TGCACCCCACCGGGTGTCCAAGCTGGAAGCGTGGCCGGTTTCTGGGTACCGCTCTCGTTCCCTGCTGGCTGGAGTTCAAGAGCGGAGAGCCCTGGGGTCTTCCTCCATTCACCCTCTAGTCTCTGGTGGTGATTGACACTTTGTTTGCTGCAGGTGTTTCAAAATTTCAATCACCCGCTTTCCCTATGCAGGTGGACCCCACCCTCCATTGTATTTTCGTTTGTCACTTATTTGTACGATGTGACACAATACACTACACTACTATACACTACTAGACACCAGAGGTGGGACAAAGTCATTGTTATGCAAGTCCAAGTCGAGTCTGAAGTCATCAAATTCATGACTCGAGTCTGACTCGAGTCCAAGTCACATGACTCGAGTCCACACCTCTGCTAGACACTACACTAGACTACTATACTGCACTATTATACACTACTATACTGTACACTACTATATACTCCTATACACTATAGTATTATACACTCCAATATACACTGGTATACACTACGCAATACACTTCACTGAATACTACACAATACTCTACAATACACGACACTACTATACACTACACAGTACACTACTGTGGCACATTAGGAATGGATCACTCTTTTAAGTATATCCTTATGCAGCAAGGGAGTAAAGTGTGGTTCTGTGAAGGTCCTGATGTGCTGTGCAGTGTGTTGTATCTGTGCCCCTTTTCTCAACAACAACAAAAAAAAATATTAAGAATTAAAAAAAATGTTTTTTTTATATCTATATATATATTTTTTTAATTAAATAATGAAAACAACCCGCTAACCCTCGCATGCACACCAGGAATCTGTGAAACGGGGAGGGCCATTAAACGGTAAGATTTCAGAGACGAGAGGTCAGAGACATCCAGATGGACAAAAGGTCGATGGCCTAACCTTCCCAAGACGTCTGGAGATGCACGGATAAGGTGCAGAGCAGAGAAAAACAACTATTGCAACTCGCGTTTTCTTTAACGTTTTCCTTAACGAACAGTAAAAACTTAACAAAAAGAATTAACCAGCAAACAATAGGGGCTTTGTTATTAGATATTCCCTTATATTACTCGTATTCACCGCATATATCTTAATTTGTATTGTATGTTTCTATCTACATGACCTTACCAAAAACTAAAGAATATGAATTCCAGAAAGCTTAAGTGGAAACTTAGTTACACTTAACCTCAGGACATTAAAATATAACTCAGAATAAAACACCAATCCCTGGAAACAAACGCATAACCAAACTTGACAAAGCCCTCCAAATAATGATGTAACGAGGATCATTACGAATATTCATTAAACATAGACCGAATAATAACCACGATATACTAAGACCGAGGGAACTCATAAGAAATATCAAGAATAAATGTAACACACAGGACCACATAAATGTATTGCAAAAATCTCCTCAGCCACCTTTGTCTACAACGGTCCGGCACAAACAGATGGCCCATAAATACTTAGGGGGTTAGATAGGGTTCGCGAGGAGGGGTCGCAAGGGTGTCTGGTTCTTCTCTCTCGGTTTGTTGTTTGTTTTCCTCTCGCAAGAGACGCACAGAGAGGAGAGGGTGTTCACGTTTTTGAGTTAAGCACAAACGCGCAGAAGAGTGAGCAGTCTGGTTCGAGTCGCGCTCAGTCTTGCAACTCGGCTTGCGACGCGGCGTTGCGACGGGGCTCGCAAGGGAGCTGGGGCGGATCGTGCCTCGAGGAGAGATGGGACGACGAGGGGTCGTTAGAGTGACAGTCTGAGTGCAGTCTGGTTCGAGTCGCGCTCAGTCTTGCAACTCGGCTTGCGACGCAGCGTTGCGACGGGGCATCGCAAGGGAGCTGGGGCGCGTCGTGCCTCGAAGAGAGATGGAACGAGGAGGGGTCGTTCGAGTCGCAGAAGTCTGAGTTCAACCTGGGTCGAGGCTGGGTTCAGCCGTGCTCCGGCTGGCGGAGCGTCGTGAGGGAACAAACACCGATACCGATGGCAGGTGTCGCTTCTCGCAGAACGAAGTGTCGAGGTGTGGTTAAGTGCGAGTGAAGCTGGCAGCTGCACGAACAAAGGAAAGCACGGAGAAGAGAGAGTGACGAGTGACGACAAGCAATTAACCTGTAGGAAGGGTGGAAATCGCTGGCTGGAGACCCGGGCAGGCCGCGCAATTGATTTTGTTGTGTTATATTGCATTGTATGGTTGTGGGGGGGTTAAGGGCTGTCGTCACTGTTAGTGGGGGGAGGCATGGGGAGACTTAAATGGTCCATGGGGGAGGCAGAACCGAGGACTTTTTTTTTTCTCCGGGGGCGGGGGTGATGTAGGGGTGTCGGGGGAAGGATTCCCACCAATAGGAGGGTTAGTGGGAGGGGTGATCGAGGAGATATAAGGGAAGAACGGGCTGGAAGATGGGGCCTTTGGTGGGAACGAGATTGGGACAGCTGGGGACAGGTGTGGATGGGAGAAAAGGATTAAAAGACGAAACCCCTACAATCTTGTGTCGGCTCTCCTTTACAGTAGTGTAGTGTAGAACCCCTCCCCAATGATCACTTCTGTTAACGACTAATCGCTTAACGACGGGTCTCCATTGACCATTCCCCTGTTGACGACGGGCTGTTGTCGGTATTTGTTTATAATAGTATTAGTATATTCCTGTTTTCATATCCATCGTTTAAATGCTATAAAGTACTTTTTGGGTGAAAAAGGTAACTTTCGAAGCTATCAGAACAAATTAAGCCTTTAACGGGTATTTCATAGACACACTTAACGACCAAATCACTTAACGACCGATTTCGTGGGACAAATTAACATCTTCTTGGTTCTTTCGGTAAAGTCACGTAGAAGGGAAGTAATAAAATAATAAAAATAAAACATAATAAATTATTATGTTTTATTTTTATTACATAATAAATTACATAATAAATTATTATGTTTTATTTTTATTATTTTATTACTTCCCTTCTACGTGACTTTACCGAAAGAACCAAGAAGATGAATCCCTGCAGTCACGAAAGCTTTAAATCGAAATCAAATTAACATCGTTAAGAGGAGGGGTTCTACTGCACGAGGGGCTGGAGTGGTCCTCGTTCACCGGGGCCGGGTGGCGGGGGGGTTGGGGGCTCCTGCAGAGGAGCGGCTGCTGTGGTGTCAGCGAGTCGGTGGCCGATGCTGCTGGTGCATGGAGCAGCTGTGTGCGGTGCTGCCGTGCGGGCGTGGCAGTGACCGAGTCTGCTGGTGAGTGGAGTCTCTCAGAGCGCTGTTGAGAGCAACCAACCAAGTCCCGAGGCTGCGGCTGCGTGGATCCATTAAAGGATTAAAGGGCGCCGTTGTGTGTGAGAGCCAAGGTTGAGGTTTATGCTGCTTTGAAACCTGGGAGTGCTGCACTACCGTTGGGTCCTGGGGGGGGGGGGGGGGGTGATCCCCGAGGCTGCACGTGACCTCGAGAGTGAATGTTGCGCACCAAGCTGGTGGGCTTCTGCCGCGTCACCCGGGAGCGGAGCGCGCGTCAGGGTTGTGGTGCGAACGGTCGCCGCGGAGTTCTGCGATCGTCGAGGCGCTGTGGGGTCGCCGTGTTAAGCCAGTGGACTAAAGGGGTTATGTAAATGTGCGCTGTTACTGTTGCCGAGACTTTTCAAGAGTTGGTTGCACTTGGTTGTCAAGAAAGTATTATCTGCCACAGTTGGTTCACGTCATTGAGCAAATTGTTTCAATAGTGCATGACGAATCGAGGCATAGTTAATAAATTCAAAAACTTAAATTTCTCGGTATTCCTGATCCAATTATTTTCCTTTTTGTCGCCATTAAAGCAACGTTGAACAATCCGCGCTGCTGACCTGTAACAAAATTTATCGTGGGAATTTCACGGCAAAGAAATGTATCCTAACTCATTTCTCTCTCTCCCACGTATACAAAAAAAGAGCGACCCTCATAAATTGCATGGCTGCGATAGCGATTCAGGGTCCCATTTTGTAGCTGCTCACCCCGAGCTATAGATGCCCTGTCTCTGGTGTAGGTCAATCCGACAATGCATCATATATTAACGGAGCCATGTTTGTTTGCACGCTCACCCAGAGCTAGAATACTCTGATCCGTGCATTGCCTTTGTACTGTTCGCCTTTTGGCGGTGTTCTCTGGTCTACAAACACTGGTGGTGAGACAAGGCCATCAAGAAGGCTGCTGTCTCTGGTGTAGGCCAATCAGTTTCAAAGACAATGCCTATATAATTATCAGAGCATGTTTTGTTTGCATATTCACCACAATCACTGTGTGTGGTTAATGCAGACATTCCTTGCTAAAGTTTCTGTTTGGTGTTCGAACATCTTAACACAACTCCTGTTTTATTGCCAGAAAGGGTAAAACCTATTATTATTTTCTCACACTTTTATACCGGCAAAAAGGTCTTATTTAGGGTTTTTTTACGCGCTGATGTTAATGTGATACAGCCGCACTACCCCTGGGGCGCTTGCCCCCCGCCCACATGAGCAGGTCACGGCGCCGGATTCAGCCCGATGGTTTGTGGCTCCACCAGCTGGACCCTGAGCCACAGCCCCGTGACCGAGTTAAACACGCAACTCCCACCGGTGCCTCACAGCTCGACTACTGCATCGCGACTTTGAGACAGGAACAAATTATTTTCATGAAGTAGTTTAAAGTGTTAAACTTAAAAGAAAATGAGAAGCTGAAAGACGAAGATAACAACAACAATATCGTGGAGTAGAGCGGCAGGGAGCAACGAGTTTACTAGCAGCGTTCCCCTGCCAGTTCAGCTGATACGAGTTGAGGTGAGGTGAGTTGGTGACGTGAGATGAGGTGAGTTGAGGTGCGTTGGGGTGAGGTGAGTTGAGGTGAGGTGAGTGAATGAGGATTTGAGTGGACGTCATCCGAGTCTTATTTTTTAAGCCACCCCTGTAGTGGAGACGTTTGTACTCGCTCACACGTCAGCACATTCCAGGGCACGCCTCGTGACATGCAAATAAAACTGAAATACTTCCTGCTTCCTTGTTACCTATTTACGTGGCTTGTTCCTCGTTTAGCATCTCAGACGCAGCCAGCAACTGCCTGAGTTTCAGACAGAGACTGTCTGAGCTACAGCCAGAGAATACCTGAGCTGCAGAGACTGCCTGAGATACAGACACAGACTGTCTGTGCTATAGCCAGAGACTGCCTGAGCTACATCAAGCGACTGCTTGAGCTACAGCCAGCGCCCGTCTCTGAGTGGAGCCACAGGGCATGGCGAGTGCGGCTCCCAGTGGTAGCGAGGCCCCAGGGGAGTTGACCTGCCCCATCTGCCTGGACGCCTTCCGCTGCCCCTGCACGCTCAGCTGCGGCAACTCGTTCTGCCTCGAGTGCGTGGAGGGCGCCTGGGATGCGGCAGAGTCCTTCTCCTGCCCGCAGTGCCGAGTGACCTTCCCTCGGAGGCCCAAGCTGAACAAGAGTGTGACGCTCGCCAACCTGGTGGAGCAGCGTAGTGCCGCAAAGAAAATGGCCACCGTAGTCTTGTGTGACTTCTGTAACGATGGCACAACCGCTGCCTCCAAGACCTGCCTCAGGTGTGATATGTCCTACTGTCCGACTCATGTAAAGCCTCATCAGGAGAACCCGAAGTTCAGGGGCCACATTCTGGTGGATCCAGACACGAATCCTGAGGACCGCAAATGCAAGACACACAGAAAGAAGATCAAGTTTTACTGCCGTAAGGACAAGAGCTTGGTCTGCACAACCTGCACCATCGCAGGAGACCACAAGGGTCACGATGTGGCGACGCTGGAGGATGAGCACAAGACACGGGAGGTGAGACGGTCTGCGTGTGTGAGCGGGAACCTCTCCTGCGTGAAGTCATCACTTCCCAGCATGAAAGGAACAATAATATCGAACTAAATATCATTCCTCTCTCAACTGCCCATTGTTCCTTAACATTTTAACAACATTGATTTATTATAAAGTATGCTGCTGTTGTCATAGTACATAAATAATACATCCGCAAGTTATTACCAATCCTGTTTTATGGAAAAATTATAAACTGGGCTTGGCGTTCCAGAAATGTCGCTTGATTTTGACAGACCAAGCATTTCGTGACCGTATTTATATTTTCATAAAGATGCTCTTCACCGAATTTCTCCGACACTCAACAGAGACATGGCAGCCCCTCCTTGTGCCATGTAAAACTAAACTACATTTTTTTTTATTTTACCAAGTGAAACTCACAGAGCAATGTAGTTGGCAACCTGGCCACAAATGACAGCTCAACGAAGTGGCTTATCAGGTCTAAATGTATAGCAGCCAAATACTCTAAACGCACCTTCCTAAACCGGAGGACCCAGAGAAAAATCTAAGCGACCATGGAGAGAGACATGCAAACTGCATATATACAGGTGTAGTGATATAGAATTGATCACTACAGCACGTAGCGCTAAGTACAGTAGAATGAGGAAATATGGGTGTAGAGGCGAGCACACCATGCAGTACCACACAGTGGGTCACTAGTGTTTGTGGCACTGGGTGCTAGCAGAGAGAGGCTGATGAGTCCTACCGACAGAGTAGAGCGTGGTGCGGGCTGCTGGTGGAAGGGGGCATATGAGGACGAGTCACCCCGGCCTCGGGTGAAGCACGTGATGGGCCGGGGTGAGGAATGTGGGGCCAAGGTGACCGATGGGACACGGGAAGTGTAGACGGGAATCTTCTGGAGAGTTCCTGAAGGAGGCGTGGTTAAGGGCGGAGCCGGGCAGGTGGCACGTGCAAGATAGCCTGGAACCTTCAGGAATGTTCCAGAAGGAGGCGCAGCCGAGGACGGAACTAGGACGCACTGAGAGAGATTAAAGCGAAGCCAAATGCAGACAGCCCAGATCAAAGATCGGGGCTGTCTGCAGGTGAAGTTAACCCAAGGTGCTATGTCTTCGTCTCTGACGTCGTGGGTCAGACTGCACGTTGGCTGCTCTGACCCGTTTATAGTTATCCCGTGTGTAATGGTGTGTAAGAGATAGGCATATTGTAGTCCCGTGTGTAACGGTGTTATATAGTGTAGAATAAACGATGTTGCCTCATAACTAGTGTCTCCGAAGTGACTCACTACACAGGTATCAGGGTCGGGTTAAAACCCACTACCTCCTGCATAGCAGGCAAGGCAGATAACATCTCGCCACTCCGGTTCCCTGTCCACCCACTACTCAGCACCGCCCACTACTCAGGTAGCCCTGAACATGTTTGAGCTCCTCATGAAATCAGTTCCCTGCAGCGCTTGCTCCCCACGCCTCCATCGCTGCACCGGGGCTACTGCCCCCGTCACTGTGGAGGGGTTCACGTGGAGCCGGGTGAGAGGGGACGCTCAGAGAATGAGTGGCGTCTCCCCTGGTGACGTCTATCACAGAAACAAGTTGGAGAGGAGACGCGGGCAGTGGAGGAGAAAAGGAGGAAGGCGGAGGAGTCCGTGAGGCGGATGGAGGCAGCTCGCAAGGATGTGCAGGTACCGCGTCTGGGCCGGACTCTGTGACCCCGTGACTCCACCCTGAGTAGGGTTTGTGGTGGAGAACAACTCAATTCATTCACGTGGGCTTCCATTGGCTCTAAACACGTTGTGGGAATAAACACACAACGGTCAATGTGCCTCAATAATCAGGACGCGCAAAGAGGTGGTTCTCATCTCCACTGAGAAACTGAATCAGTGGTGGAATTTCAACATTCCCATATCTCCATACAACTTACCACTTCAACGACTGTTTACTATATTGGTCAGATGAGGTGGTACGTACCTCTTATCCAATACTCTGGTGGCAGAGTTGGTGATCACACACAGACTGTTGTACACCATCATATTGAAATCACTCAAGTTTTGGGGTGGCCAGGTGGCAGTATAGCAAGTGGTTTCATGATCCCCTCTCTTCATCCATACATGTGTTTTTCTCTCACATTCAAAACATTAATTTAAAGAGGAATTGGCCATACTTCCCAATTCATTAAGGCTCTACTTGTTGAAGGCAAGTTACAGATTTCCCTTCGCTTCATGCGACGGTAAACAATGCATCGTCCTGATAGCTTTGCGCAATGAGAATGGCACAGATGCTAAATGTACTCATAATGGTATTTGATGATTTAATTGCCTCACAGCTCCCGCCAGTTATGGCCAGTCGTGTTGTAGTGAAAATGCGCAGTGGCGTTATCAGACGCAGAGGAAGGAGGTCTCAGTGCTGCAGACTCGTATCACTGTCGGGACACCTTAGAGTTGCACTCGAGTCACACCGACCTGAATGTCATTTCACAAAGGACCAGACATTTAATGAACAGAGGTGGCATTTGTTTCTCTTTGCAGGCATCCATGACAGATGAAAAGGCCTCAATCTCGGTCAGATTCACCCGCGCGAGAGCAGCGTTGGATGCGGAGGAGAAGGCGGCTTTAGAGCAAGCGGAGCAGACAGGGCGCGAGCTGCTGTCCCAGATCGAGAAGAAGATCGCTCACGACCAGCGCGAGATCAACGAGCTCCAGGCAGCAGCCACTCGCCTGCAGGCCCTAGCGCAGGAGAGGGACTCGCTCGCGTTCCTGCAGGTAAGCGATGAGTCTTCAGTGTCGCTATTGGCACAGAGCCCTCTCACCAGCAGCAGGAGAGGGAGGCTCCTAAAAGAGAGCTCACATCCGCTGGGCTTGAGAACACAGCTCCACTCATTGATTCGCATCGCAGCTCCAGTGGCTGCCATGTGAATAGCCCAGCTCATATTTTCTCAGTTAAATGAATATTCTCTATCCCGTCCTTTGACAGTTTCCCATTAAGTTTTTTTCATCGTGAATATCAACTATATGTTATTGGAATTGTACTTTTTAAATCAACCCTACAAAAACAACAACAATGTACACGGTATTCATGATTATCGTCAGCGATGATCAGGATGAAGGCCTCCCCAAGCCGTTGCCACATCTCATGATGCCTCGATGCAACAATCCACCAGCGCCTGTTCACGAGCCGATGTCATCTCTGCTTCTTACTTTGTGGACCTCCTCTTGGATGCGCTACCTTCAGTCTTCATATTATGGAAGCTAAAATATATTCCAAGTCTCATATGTGTATTAATGATATCTTTGTGTATTGACCACCACTTCTGCAAGACCTGCCACGTGTGCATTGACGACAGAAATTACCAGTCCTAAGTTACTCTCAATACAGATCAATATCAACCGGTCTCACTTTGAAATATTTGCCCTGCAAATCAGTGTTGGTGATCATAGCGTCATAAGCCAAGCCTTTGGGGTTTATATTCCACCCACGGTATTGCAGTGGGAACTCCACTGATCACAAGGGATCGGAGGTAGAATCACAGTAACGCATCTCTCTCCCACAGGGGCACCTGGAGGAGACGTGCAGGTAAAATATTTCGATCACTCACGACTCGATACACGACAACATGGGACTGAGTGTGGGGTGTGGGCAATGAGACATTGGCTGTGTGTGATGCTCTGTGTGGTGATGTTGTGTATGATGGTTCTGCGTGTTGATGCTGTGTTGATGCTGTATGTGGTGTTGCTCTAATTGTGAGATGATTGATGATGCTTTGTTTGATGAGTGCCTGTGTGATGGAGCTGTGATCATTGTGAGTGACGATGCTCTGCGTGAGACAGTGGCCATGTCTGTTCTGCTTTAACAGGGCAGGGAGGGTTACAGCAGCTCCACCCTCAGCCCCCAGCCAAGAGGACATTGCCTCACTTAAAGTCCTGAAGATAACTGCAGTCAAACTCCTGTGTGAGTTCTTCCATGTGAATCATGTATGATGGGGCCATCTTGACAGTAAATGATCCCCGTGGGTGTGCACGAGGTCGACTCAACCTCAAATGATTACCTGGTGTTTTATAAACATCACCACTAGGGCGTGGTGCTGGCTACCCACCTCCTCATGTGCCCTGTCGGCCTTCAAAGTTACTCGCTAACAGTACTTGCCCCAATGGTCTGTTAAGGCTGCACAGGGGATCTTAGTCTTTGTTCACATCCCATTCTAGGACCCTACTGTACAAAGCCATGAGACTTAGTGTGGTGTTCTTGTGTAAATAATCAACATTATGAGTCAGGGGTAATTGCGATAGTGAGATGCAGTGTGTGCCTGTGAATATGTAGGCATGTGGGGGGGGGGGGGGAGCGGTGGCTTAGTGGTTAGCCAACTGCACCATGTACGAACCCAGTTTACCTGGGCTTGATTACCCGCCATAGCTAACATCAGTGGCAGGTGATATCTGATCCAGTCCTGGGCCTTTGCTCGGCCGTTTCAGCCTCAAATTAGTTCCTGATGCTGGTAATGGTCATTATAATGGTGATAGTAGATTGTGATAAGGATGGTGGTAATGATGCTGATGTTAGTGATAATGTGAGTGATGGCATTGGTGATAGTATTCGTCGTGGTGATGGCAGTGACGGTCGTGGTGATGGTAATGATGGTGACATTGGTGATTATATAGGTGGTGATGGTTTTGTTGCTGGCGCTGATGGTAGCAGTGATGAATATATTGGTTATGGTGATAATGGTAGTGATGGTGGTGATCATGGTTTTGATGGTCGTTGTGATGGTTATGATGCTGATCGTGTTGGTGATGTCAGTAATAGTGATGAAGATGTTAGAGGTGGTGGTGATGGGGATAGTGATGGTGATGATGATGGTGGTGATGGTGAAAAATGGTAATGACGTTCTCTAGTGATTTTGCCATCACTGTGGTCACAGACGGATGCTCACCGACTCTGGACACAAACTCAGCTCATGACCAACTCCAGATCTCCTCGGATCTCAGGACGATGACGCGGACCCGTGCCTCTCAGGGTCGCCCCGATCACCCACACCGGTTTGATGGCTGTGCACAAGCCCTGTGCTGTGAGAGCTTCTCGTCGGGCCACCACTACTGGGAGGTGGACGTGTCGGACGCACAGCTGTGGTGGGTTGGAGTCGCGTACGGGACGATCCCACGGAACGGGGGACGTGCTGCACAGCTGCTGGGAAAGAGTGACACGTCCTGGTGTTTAGAGAAAAGTTGCAACAACTTCACAGTGATTCATGGTGGAGTGAAGACTGCACTGTCGGTGAGGGGGGACCTCTCCCTCCGCAGAATCGGGCTTCACCTGCACTGGGAGGGGGGGCTCCTGGCGTTTTACCGCGCCGACTCCATGGAGGTGATCCACGAGGTTCGGCAGAGATTCTTGCAGCCTCTCTACCCTGCGATGTGTGTGCAGTGTTATAATGAAGGATTGGAGATCGTGGATCTGAGTCGTGCATCCTGAGGTTGAGGATAGATAGAAACCCAAGAAACAGAGGGGAAGGTGGAACGGAGGGTGAGGTAAGGTGAGGAGATTGGAGGGGAAGGTGTCGGGTGAGCGTGGAGGGTGAAGGGTGAGGAGAGGATGTGAAGGAGGTAGAGAGAGAGGGTGAGGTTATGGCAGGTTGAGGTGAAAATTGAGGGAAGGGTGAGGTGAGCATGGAAGGGTAGTGTGGGGCTCGGGTTGGCGTGCGTGAGCGATGTCGCCTTTGCAGTAAAAATCGTAGGTTCGTGTGGCTGCTCCTTCGCCTGCAGTGCGCACTCGCGTCACCATGCCTCCTTATCCCTGCGATTCACCATCATCACCATAACTAACATCACCATCATCACCCCATCATCATCACCACTGTCATCACTACCACCATCATCGCCATCATCATCATTACCAACAGCAGCACCAACATCATTATCACCATCACCACCATCACTATCAACCACCATCACCATCATCATGATAATCAACCCCACCAAAACCATCATAATCACCATCACCAACATCATCGTCACGATCACCAACATCATTACTATCATCATCACCATCACCCCATCACTATCATTAGCAACATCATTATCCCCACCATCACCACTACCACGAACACCACCATCACCACCATCACCACCATCAACCAACCATCAACCACCACCATTATCACTATCAACACCATAATAATCATCACTATTTTCAAGTCTATCACCATCATCATAATCATTACTTATCACCACTATCAACATCACCAACATTATGACCATCATCACCATAACCATCATCACCACCATCAACATCATCACCATCATCATCACTATCACTGCCATACCACCGTCAAAAACTTCCATCATCATCATCACCTGCACTATCAAGCTCATCTCCATCACGACTAACACCACTACTGTAGTGGGTTCAAACTGACTCGCAGACACACTATTGGAGGCAACACATTTATTAACACCAACACACACCAACACAAGGGGTAACTGCCCCTTCACCAGATAACAACCTATGGTGGTGGACCACCAGGCTAACTACACTAATTCGACTGGGAGTAGCTATAATGGATGACCCTAGCTTGGGTCCAATTCCACGTGTTGATGACTCTTCTTGGACGTCAGATGTAGAACGTAGATTCTTCAGGATGACAACAGCAGCCGGTCCCACTGAGGGACCCGGCTTCTATGCTCCGTGGCGGGGCTCAATCTGCCCCTAGCCACGCCCACGTTCTCCAAACCTCGAGAAGGATCTCCACATGGACACGTGATCACACCAGCCCCCCCCCCCCTTTGGGGGTCTCTGGGTAGATATCTCCGGTCACGTGTCCTCCAGGGTCAACCAGATTGCCATGGCCCCTTGCAACCCAGTTCCGTGCCCGGCACTCTCACCCTCTATCCTGTAGGGGCTGGCACTGCACGCAAAGCGTGGTGCTATCTGTCACTGTGAGGCAGTGCTCACCGAGCCCGCTTAGGGCCGGTACTGCATCCACATTCAAGTGGTGTCAGCGATGTCAATACATCGCGCGCCGTGCCTTTCCCAGGCTGGCTTCACACGGTGACATCCAACGATGTTACTACACTACTATCATCACCACCATCGTCATTACCACCACAATGATCACCACCATTATTATCATCATCACTATCAGCACCCACATCACCATCACCATTCTTACCACCAAATCACAATGATTACCATCATTACGATGACCAACACCACAAAAACGGCCATAATCATCATCATGATCACATCCACCATCACGACCATAATCATCACCATTATCATCACGATCATCCTCACCGTGAAAACCACCGTGACCCTCATCACGACCATTACCACCAACACTGTCATTATCACCACCACCACCACCACTGTCATCACCACCACCACCACGATCACCACCATCATTATCATCATCATCAATATCATCACCGCCCACATGACCACCACGATTATCACTATCACCATTCTTACTATAATCATCACAACCATCACCACCATCACTACCATAATTACTACCATGATCAACACCAGTACCATTATCACCATTTCACCATCATTACCACCACTTTCACCATCATCATGGTAACGTCTTTGTAACGCTTTTGTAGATCCGGTTGTTATTTTTGTTTATTGTGTTTAACCGGGGCGAGAACTCAAGACACCAGGATAGGAGTCTCATTTGTAAGAGTTAGTGGCATGTGGAGTGAGTGCTTGGGTGAGTGAGCAGATGAGTAAGTAGATAAGTGACAGAGATGGTGGGTGACTGAATGATTGAGTGAGTGCCTGGTTGATTGGGTGAGATGGTGGGTGAGTGAGTGGGTGAGTAGACAGGGGAGATGGTTGGTGAGTGAGTGAGTGCATGGGTGAGTGGATCGGTGGAGTGTTTGAGTTAGTGAGAGGGTCAGTGATTGGGTAAATTATTGAGTGCGTGAGTGAGTAGATTAGTGGGTGAACGATTGAGTGCATGGGTGAGTGAGATGATGGGTGAGTGAGCGGCTGATTGGGTCAGTGGTTAAGTTAGTGAGCGAGAGGGTAGGTGAGTGTGTAAATGATTGAGTGAGTGAGTTCAAGTGTATCGTCTGTAACCGGGTGTAGAACTCGAGAGACCGGGACCGGAATCTCATTTGCAAGAGTGACCTGGGGCTGGGGGGGATCTCCAAAATAACAAAAACGACAACGTGAGCACAGGCAACAATGACGAAGCGAATATAAATTAACATAAAAAAACAACAACCACCAACGTGTTACGGACGGAACCGGAAAAAAACAGCGCCCCGAACAAACTCCCAATAATGCAAGGGTGGAGACAGCGCCGGTAAACCCAACTCACAGTCGTGTCCACGTGTTGGGGGGCGATCTCGTCTACCCAGGACCACCCGTCGCGGCGTCCAACGCGACGTAACGACGACTCCCACAGACAACACCAACAGCCCACTCCTCCCCTCCCCCGGTTAACCACCCCACCACAGTTCCTGGGTTTGTCGTCATGGAAGCGGACAGGTAGCTGCTGCAAGCTGGGCAAGGCGTAATGTGTTCAAAGCGGCTAACCCGCCGGATTTTCCGGGCAGCTGCATTCTGCACTAACTGGAGCGTCTGCACGAATCCAAGTGGAAGCTCTGCATAGATAACACTATGTAACACAATTTTTGTTCCTGGGTAGTAAGTGTTATTTCCTAATTGATCATGCCTAAAAAGTAAAGAAACTGGCTATTATTCTCTATAACCTTTGCTTTTGTGACCAGGACATTGATATTTTGAAATTTACCTATTTTCAGTGAGAAAACGGGTGAATATGTCTTTTCGTTCACATAGTCAGAAAAAAAACATATGAATGAAAATTAACATGTATTTATACTAAAGTAAAACAAAAATTATTACAAAAGAATAATAAGTGAGTAGTTTTGGAGATTTACAATTATACTGTAAATCACTTTCACGAATCAGCCCCCAAATATAGTCTCCCATCATGTTCTTGTTATACTGTCCTTTGTAGCGGCATTCTGCATCATAATCCAGGCGTGTTGAGACAAAGGCATGAACTAATGATTACAAGGCTGGGGCAGAGAGGAGCGGGCACCGCCCTCGGAGTGTTTGTAGGTGGTAGATATCTGCTCTGAACGTAGCTATGAGCTGTGAGCGCACGGTCAAGCTCTGATCGAACAGCACACCTTTGGACACACGGAGAGGGTGAGCGCTGCTAATCAGTGGAGGACCGAAATGGCCTTGCCACGCTCTCAGACGCTGTGTGGGGGCTCATGCCCCCCTCCTCCTCTCCCCCTTGGACCTCCTCTCCTTCGCGCCGGGCTGCCGCGCTATCGAGTCATCGGCCTCCCCGCACCAGCGTCCTCCCTGTGGGACATGGCTCGTGGCTGGCTCTCTGTCGCCTCGCCGCGTTATCCTGCCTCCCTCCCCTGCGTAAATCTACTCCCCTCCACCTCGGCTGCAAGAGCGTGGGTCCACGCGCCAGCGCAAGTCCCGGGCACACGAGTGAATCGATGGCAATATTCGCGAGTTGCACCATGGAGCGTTATACTCGCTTTGCGGACGCGTTGCGTGAAGTGCGCCGTGTAAACACGCACGCGAGCGCAAGCACCCGGCCTAACGGCGATCTATTGATGATGATATTCGCGCGCTAATTCCCCGTTCAATCACAGTCGATGGCCATATATGCGCGCTAATCCCCTGCGCAAAATGCTCTAGGTAAATACGCTCGCGATCACACGCACGCGAACGTCAACGATCGTTTTAGTACTGATTACCTGCGCGCTTCACACGTATGCACATACCCACACCACACCTACGCTCTGTACACACACACAGAAATCACGCGGCGTCATCACTCTGCGCTAAAGTTGATTAATGTGGTACCTGAAGAAAAGCCCTGTGTGGCCCGGAGCAAAACCATCTAGCGAGCAGCGTCCCACCTAGTTGTATCCAAACCCTCCTCACCTATCTATAACCAACCCTCTTGGAGCCCTCGCGCTATCCCTCACCCCTCTCACGTACTCACGGTTTCTCACGGACCTGCTGGGAGTCGGAGGGACGAGGGTCCGGGAGGTCTCTGCCTGGGTCGAGTCGTTGCTGTTCTTGCGCGTTGCCGTTTCTTTGCCTTTTTAGCTCTAGCCCGCTCGCTAGGTGTTTTTGGCTCTCCCCACGGCCCTATTCCCCTGCGTTCAGTGTGTGCTCATCGCGGTTGCTCAGTGAGCTCGACGTGGCCATACAATTTTAAGTTAATCCACGGGGCCGCAATGCAATTCGGCCTGGGGGTCGGCCAATCTCCTGACACTGGGAAACCGTGGGACATCCCCACGAGGGGGCCCTCGGGTGAAAACACAGGGTGCCAGGTTACCCCCCCACGAGGCCCTACGTGGGGGCACGTGTGTGTGTTCGGTTGGGGGGTTGCGAGGGGATAGCAGCTCCGGCAGAGTTTCTCCGTTGCCGCGGCACCACAGATGCTCTGAGCCAACTATCATGTACTCTGTCTTGCCCAGGTTAAGCTGCATACGGTTTTGCTCCGTTCAAACAGCGACTTCAGACAAGCATTCTGAAATAACAGATATAGCGGCGTCTGGATATGACGTACGTTAAAAACGTATTCATTTAGAACTGATTTTTTTGTTTGGTTTGTTGTCCTCACCCCGCATCTCCGATTATCACGGTTGGATATGTACGGTGCGAAAGAAGTTCAACATACATATAATCTGAATCAGCATCTTTATTTATAGTGTAGGAATCCAATGAGTTATGAAGCACTTTTTCAAAGATTTACAGTAGCGGCCGGTCAGAAAGTTACAATAACAAACAGTACAAACAACTGATCAGGGTGTAAAATATAGGAAAGGTGTGCAAATGATTGAAACTAGATAAATACTAATTAAACAAAGTATTTAACTACTATTTGCAATCGTGTATTACTTTATACCGATCTTTTCAACACTAAATGCAAGCGTGGCCAAGGCAGCAACACAACAACAGTTCCACATCACACCAAGACAACACGGCAGTCCCTGGATACAACTGCACATGAATATTGAACTATCGATACGTGGGTATGGATCAACGTTTCAATCACATTCGCAAATGAGGTTGTGTACAGCATGATTCTTCTGCTTCAGTACATTTATTGAAGTAAGATGTATGATGTTAAGGGAGGAAACAAGCTTGTTCCAAAACGTTGGTGCTGCAACGGCAAAGGCTTTGTCACCCATTACAATTCTCGCTGTTGGGATAGTTCACAGGCAATTATGTGTTCGTCTTAGGTTTCTTTGGCTTGATAGTAGGCTTCATGACTTAGCTAATTAAAGCACAGATTTGCCAATAAGGGTTTCATGGATGAACAGTTCCCAATGTATATTTCGTTTTGCATCAAGTGATGTGAGATTGTTTTTAAAGTCGAAGTCACATTAGTGGGTGCTGTATGGTCGATCCAATACAAATGGAATATCAGAATGATAAATGGGGTTTAGTCTGTTAAGTGTTAGATTATTAGCTTATTTGTACGCAGCGTCACAGTAGCCACCAAACTTTGTAGAACACCCTTTGTTCTTATAATATTTGTGGACGAGATTTTATGACAATGTACTGTTTTGATAAAGGTCTGAGATGTATCTCTGAAACCATTTTATCGTACTGTCTGACAATTCTAGTTAACTGCGTCTTGTGAGTATAATATCATGGTCAAGAGTTTCAAAGGGCTTTAGACGAGGCAAGGAATAGTCCACAGCAGTAGCGGCCTACATGCAGGTTACTGAAAAACATTTAAAATCATCCATAATAGCTGTGGTGGCGCAGTAATCATCATGGAAAGCAGACTGTTTACTGTGCGCGAGATTGTGAGTGATAGGTATCCGTCTATTCGTGATTAAAGTAAAAAAATGTTTAATAACTGTTGAAAGAATAGAGATTGGTCTATAATCATTCATACAACGTCCGCCATAACTAAACTGCCCACATTCAGTGAAGCAGTAGCTGTGCTGAGTGCAACGGTCACATTCTAAAGGTGTTCATAAACCTTTACCTTATGGCATGCAGTCCCGTATTCTTTGTCTAGCAAACAGCCTATTATCTCCGAAGTATAATAAAGCATTTCCCCACTTTTCAAAGATTGCACGTTATTGGTGCCGAGTAACCTATTTTTGCGTAAAAAATGCACTGGCTGTTTCTTAAAAAGTTTAAATAACATCCGACTTTTCACATATCCAACAATGATTCAGACCCTAGTGAGTCCGACACGTGACGGTATACCACAAACATTTCAATAAAAATCCTCATTCTGTCCCAACTTTGTGTTGCCGTTCCAATCCTTAAGCGGAGAGGTAATTCCTCAAATCCTTACCCACACCACACGACCGTTCTATTTCTATACCCTGAAACGTAGTCAAATAATCCCCACAACCCGCACAGCGTGCAGCGGCCATCATCCCGCAGTGGATTAACAAAAGGGCTGTACACGGACAGCGTATTGCATTGTGGTTAGGATACGGGATCCAGAATTCACGAACGTGTGTTGAACTTGTTTCGCACCGTACATTGCCAACTGTCCCAATCGGTACAAACTGTTTTCTGTGAAAAAAACACAACTTGACGTAACTACACTACGGGAACCTCATTTGCCAGTAAAAATATGATAATTGGTTGTTTACCCTTCTATCTGGCAACAAAACTGACACCTTTTTACAAGGAGTCATGTTTGCATAGACCGCAATACCTGCAGTCATAATACAAACAAAAGACATAACTCTGATAATGTGCACTGTCCTTGAAGTTGATTGGTCCACACCCGAGACAGCTTTCCTTAGAGCCTAGTCCAACCCATGTGAGACTAGGCTCTAAGGAAAGCTGTCTCGGGTGTGGACCAATCAACTTCAAGGACAGTGCACAATATCAGAGTTATGTCTTTTGTTTGTATTATGACTGCAGGTATTGCGGTCTATGCAAACATGACTCCTTGTAAAAAGGTGTCAGTTTTGTTGCCAGATAGAAGGGTAAACAACCAATTATCAACTTGACGTAAGTTAAGTTGCGTCGACACCAGAGCAATCATTTGCATGCAACTTGGCAACTAGGGTGTATTCAACGGAATCGCTTCTACATGGACGTCTCTGCAACATTTTGCTCACAGTGTAACGAGACTACTTTCAAGCATCTCCTTAGAGAATCATAGCAACGTATCGCATCATCAAACGCTGCACAGTTCTGAATTGTGATAAACAGCTACAATCCAAATGCAGGTGAGGAGTCGTGTAACCAGAACAGGGGGCAGACATTATAGTCACTGAAACTTAACTCACGATTCATGAATGCACGAAACAATAACGCTGGCATGCGCTCACATACAGCAGGATGGATACGATATGGAGGTGTCAAGAGGGAAATACTCGACATATTCAAGGGCCTCCCAATCAAAATTGATAGTTGGGGGATGTTTGGCTGTTCCAATCACGGTTCTTATCTTAATGACATTTATATAGCACATTTACGAAAGCGCTTTACAGCCATTATAAAAATGTATACAGCATTCTTAATTTTGGAGCTTTCGTGACTGCAGGAATTATTCTTTGGTTTTTTCGGTAAAGTCACGTATATACAGCATGATAAATGAAAATATACAGCATGATAAATGAAAATAAGAATTGGGTTATTTTAAGGGCCCGTTGTGATTTCTAAAACGCGGGCTATCCCATGCTTGTGGGACAACGACTTTTCGAATAGAATGCCCTCAGAAATTGACGGAGTGGAAGTGTAAGGGATGCCGTCAGGGCAGCGGATAATTTTTATGGATCCTGTTGGAAGGGAGGCGGGTGCAATGTCGCCATTCAGGCATTGGTGAGGGAGTCAGTAGAGATCACCGCTAGGCATAGAGATGTCGGTTCCCTTGCGGTACCGGAAGCAATTGCATTCGGCCGACCCAGATGCGGCGATTCTCCTGAAACCATCTAACAGTGTGACACACGAGCTTAAGCTGACTCATTAATCCCCCCCCCCCACTTTGTGCAAGAGCGCAAAAGTGTGGTCACCACATCTACGCCTCTAAATAAGGAGTGAAACAGTTAGACTTCTCTACAAATCTGGCTGTCGCCTGATGAAGCTAGTTGTAATTACTGGCGAAGCGTCGTACTCAGATTGTAGATGTTGTGGCTTGGCTCTCCAACACACAGGTGTGCTGGACTAGTGACGAATTGGCATGTTCTGTTGACGTGACAACACTTACTAGTTGGCTGTGTCGGGTGGTGGCGGGTTTCAACTACACATTTATATATCTACGCGATCTTAAACACAAGTACTGTGTGGGTAATGAAGACATTATTCCTTCCAAAAGTATTTGTTTGGTGATTGAACATCTTAACACAACTGTTTTATTGCCAGAAAGGGTAACACTTATTCTTATATTTGAATACTGGCAAGGGAGGTCCCATGAGGTGTTAAGATGTTCATACACAAAATGATGCCTTTTGCAACGAATAAAGTCTGCATTAAATACACAACTTATTTGGTGTTTGAACATCTGAAAACAACTCCTGTTTTATTGCCAGAAAGGGTAAAACCAATCATTATTATTTTCTCACACTTTGATACCTATTTTTTTTTACGCGCTGATGTTGATGTGTTACGGCCAGACTACCCCTGGGGCGCCTGCTTCCCACCCACATGAGCGGTTAACGGTGACGGGTTCCACAAAGGGCCTCGCCCGGTGGTTTGTGACTCCACAAACTGGACCCTGAGCCACAGCCCCGTGACCGAGTTAAACACGGCAACTCCCACCGGTGTCTCACAGCTCGACAACTGCATCGCGACTTTGAGACAGGAACACATTATTTTCATGAAGTAGTTTAAAGTGTTAAACTTAAAACAAATAAAGTGAAGCCGGAAGACGAAGATAACAACAACAACAATGTCGTGGAGTAGAGCGGCAGGGAGCAACGAGTTTACTAGCAGTGTTCTCCTGACAGTTCAGCTGAGACGAGTTGAGGTGAGGTGAGTTGAGATGAGGTGAGTTGAGGTGAGGTGAGTTGTGATGAGGTGAATGAGGATGAGTATTTGAGACGAGGTGATCCGAGTCTTCTTTTTTAAGCCACCCCTCGAGTGGAGACGTCTGTACTCGCTCACACGTCAACACATTCCAGGGCATATCTCGTGATATGCAAATCAAACTGAAAGACTTCCTACTTCCTTGTCACCCATTTACGTGGCTTGTTCCTCGTTTAGCTTCTCAGACGCAGCCAGCGACTGCTTGAGAAACAGCCAGAGACTGCTTGAGCTACATTTAGCGACTACCTGAGCTACATCAAGCAACTGCCTGAGCTCCAGCCAGAGACTGCCTGAGCTACAGTCAGAGACTGCCTGAGCTCCAGCCAGCGCCTGTCTCTGAGTGGAGCCACAAGGCCATGGCGAGTGTGGTTCCCAGTGGTAGCGAGGCTCCAGGGGAGTTGACCTGCCCCATCTGCCTGGACGCCTTCCGCTGCCCCTGCACGCTCAGCTGCGGACACTCGTTCTGCCTCGAGTGCGTGGAGGACGCCTGGGATGCGGCCAAGTCCTTCTCCTGCCCCCAGTGCCGAGTGACCTTCCCTCAGAGGCCCCAGCTGAACAAGAACTTCACGCTCGCCAACCTCGTGGAGCAGCGCAGTGCCACAGAGAAAATGGCTACCGTGGTCTTGTGTGACTTCTGCAACGATGGCACGACCGCTGCCTCGAAGACCTGCCTTAGGTGTGATATGTCCTACTGTGTGACTCATGTAAAGCCTCATCAGGAGAACCCGAAGTTAAGGGGCCACGTTCTGGTGGATCCAGCCACGAATCCTGAAGACCGCAAGTGCAAGACGCACAGAAAGGAGCTAGAGTTTTACTGCCGACAGGACAAGAGCTTGGTCTGCACAACCTGCACCATCGCAGGAGACCACAAGGGTCACGATGTGGCTACGCTGGAGGATGAGCACAAGACACGGCAGGTGAGACGGTCTGCGTGTGTGAGCGGGAGCCTCTCCTGCGTGAAGTCATCATTTCCCAGCATGAACTGAACAATAATGTCGAACTAAATATCATTCATCTTTCAACTGCCCATTGTTCCTTAACATTTTAACATTGATTTAATATAAAGTATGCTGAGGTTGTCATAGTACATAAATAATACATCCGCAAGTTATTACCAATCCTGTAATATGGAAAATTTATAAAATGGGCTTGGCGTTCCAGAAATGTCGCTTGAATTTGACAGACCAAGTATTTCGTGACCGAATTTATATTTTCATCAAGATGCTCTTCACCGAATTTCTCCGACACTCAACAGAGACATGGCAGCTCCTCCTTATGCCATGTAAAACTAAACTTAAACTATTTTATTTTACCAAGTGAATCTCACAGAGCTATGTAGTTGGCAACCTGGCCACAAATGACAGCTCAACGAAGTGGCTTATCAGGTCTAGATGTATATCAGACAAATACTCTAAACGCACCTTCCTAAACCGGAGGACCCAGAGAAAAATCCAAGCGACCATGGAGAGAGACATGCAAACTGCACATATACAGGTGTAGTGATATAGAATGGATCACTACAGTGCGTAGCAATAAGTACAGTAGAATGAGGAAATATGGGTGTAGAGGCGAGCACACCATGCAGTACCACACATTGGGTCACTAGTGTGTGTGGCACTGGGTGCTAGCAGAGAGAGGCTGATAAGTCCTACCGACAGAGTAGAGCGTGGTGCGGGCTGCTGGCGGAAGGGGGCATATGAGGACGAGTCACCCCGGTGAAGCACGTGGTGTGGGGCCAAGGTGACCGATGGAACACGGGAAGTGTAGCCGGGAATCTTCTGGAGCGTTCCTGAAGGAGGCGTGGTTACGGGCTGAGCCGGGCAGGTGGCACGTGCAAAATAGCCTGGAACCTTCTGGAATGTTCCAGAAGGGGGCGCAGCCGAGGACAGAGCTTGGCTGCACCGAGCGAGATAAAAGGGAAGCCAAATGCAGACAGCCCAGATCAAAGATTGGGGCTGTCTGCATATCAAAGATCGGGGCTGTCTGCGGGTGAAGTGAACCCAAGGTGCTATGTTTTCGTCTCCGTCTCTGACGTCGTGGGTCAGACAGCACGTTGGCTGCTCTGACCCGTTCATAGTTAGCCCGTGTGTAACGGTGTGCAAGAGATAGGCATATTGTAGTCCCGTGTGTAACGGTGTTATATAGTGTAGAATTAACGTTGTTGCCTCCTAACTAGTTTTTCCGAAGTGACTCACTACACTGGTTTCCTGTTCTCCCACTACTCAGCCCCGTCCACTACTCCAGTAGCCCCACCCACTGCTCAGGTAACTCCACCCACTACTTAGGTAGCTCTGTCCACTGCTCAGGCAGCTCCACCCACTACTTAGGAAACCCTGTGCACGTTTGAGCTCCTCGTAAAATCAGTTCCGTGCAGCGCTTGCTCCCCCAGCCTCCATCGTTGCATCGGGGGCTACTGCCCCCGTCACTGTGGAGGGGTTCACGTGGAGCGGGGTTGAGAGGGGATGCTCAGAGTGAGTGGAGTCTCCCCTGGTGACGTCTCTCACAGAAACAAGTGGGAGAGGAGACGCGGGCGGTGGAGGAGAAGAGGAGGGAGGTGGAGGAGTCCGTGAGGCGGATGGAGGCTGCTCGCAGGGACGTGCAGGTAATTGCATCTGGGCTGGACTCTGTGACCTCGTAACTCACTCTGAGTAGGGTTTGTGATGGAGGACAACTCCATTCATTCACGTGGGCCTCCATTGGCTCCAAACACATCGTGGGACTAAATACACAACGGTTAATCTAACCTATATAATTTGTCTGTCTGTCTGTCTGTCCGTCCGTCTGCGTACGCTCGCTTCCGGGGGAATTAGCCCTCGGACCGTGGGGTTCGCCGAGATTAAATATTGCCGGTGGGCACGCCCCCGGCCCCGCGGTGAACTTAGGCATTTCCGATTTTTCGTCTCTAAACTTTAAATCGGACCCATTATCGATTTAGTGCGATTTCTCTTTATTTATTTATTTACTATTGCCGACCGGCATGTAACGAAGCACGCCGTTGCGCATGCGCGAAGGCGGTTGCCCCTGGCAACGGGCGGTTGGCCCCTGGCAACGAGCGGTTGGCCCCTGGCAACGGGCAGCAACGCCGTCGCTGCGGGGTGGACGCCATTTTTAATTCCGGTTAAAAAGTATGCGCACGCATTAACACACGACACTGAGGTAAATTCATCAAAGTTTCACGTCCTCTTCACTCCCCCCCCACCCCAATGTGTGCAATTACTATCATAGGGTCGATAGATAATACAATTATAGCGATTAGACAGTATTATTTTAGCGCGGGGGGGTGGGGGGGTAACGGCCACAGCACCCAGCCTTGGCCGGGTGGGCAATCTAGGCGAGGCTGGAGGCTATGCACGGTACTAGGCCTCGACACCCCACACTTGTCAGGCGACGACTTTGTGCTATAAACTCGATATACCCAGCGTTGCCCGGGGGGAAAATACATTTAAAATGTTCTGAAAACTTTGAAACATAACATACCAATGAAAATATAACTGTGTAATTTAAAATGTAAAACCGACCGCGCCAAGAATCGATTCTCTGAATCGCGCAAAGGAATCGAAGGTTGTAGATTCATTTAGAATCGCCCTGTTCCCGTTTAATATAAGTTGGTTATAGAGTTGATATAAACTGCTACGAATGGGAAATATCCGGCGTTGACCGGGGCAAAAATATAATTAAAAACTCCTGAAAACTTTCAAACATAACATACCAATGAAAATAAAACTCTGTAATTAAAAATGGAAACCTCCTACGTGCCAGGAATCGATTCTCTGAATCGCAGAAAGGAATCATCGAAGGTTGTAGATTCCTTTATAATTGTCCTATTCCCGTTTAATATACTTACGTGTCGCCACGTTTGCTTAACATTTCCGACACACACATTCACACATTTAGCTTTTACATTTAACATACAAAACGTCAGCATGTACTGCTGTCATCATAGGCAAAAAATTTATACACCCTCAACACTCTCCCTCACCACTCTCCCTCACTCATCATCACCATTCTCCCTCACCACTAACTATCACTCACTATCACTCACCACTCACACTCACCATCACTCACCCTCACCACCACCACCACTCACCCTCACCACTCACCCTCACCACTCACTCTCACCGCTCACCACTCACCCTCACAAATCACACTCACCACTCACACTCACCACTCACACTCACCACCTCACCACTCATCACTCACCACTCACACTCACCACAGACCCCTTACTACTCACACTCACCACTCACCCCTCTCCCTCACCACTCACCCTCACCACTCACCCTCACCACTCACCCTCACCATTCACCCTCACCACTCACGCTCAACACTCACACTCACCACTAACCCCTCTTCCTCACCACTCACCACTCACCCTCACCACTCACGCTCACCACTCACCCTCACCAATCATCCTCACTACTCACCACTCACCCTCACCACTCACCCTCACCACTCACCCTCACCACTCACTCTCACCACTCACGCTCACCACTCACCCTCACCACTCACCCTCACCACTCACCCCTCTCCCTCACCACTCACCCTCACCACTCACCCCTCTCCCTCACCACTCACGCTCACCACTCACCCTCACCACTCTTCCTCACCACTCTTCATCACCACTCTTCCTCACTCCTCACCACTCACGCTCACCACTCACCCTCACCACTCACTAATCACCCTCACCACTCACTACTCACCCTCACCACCACTACTCACCCTCACCACTCTCCCTCACAAATCACCCTCACCATTCACCCCTTTCCCTGACCACTCACGTTCAATTTTTTCGATTTAAAGCTTTCGTGACTGCAGGGATTCATCTTCTTGGTTCTTTCGGTAAAGTCACGTAGAAGGGAAGAAATAAAATAATAAAAATAAAACATAATAAAATCAAATAATTCTCACGACGTTTCGGCTACAACGCAAGCAGCCGTCTTCAACAACCATCCTCACCCTCACCACCACCACTCTCCCTCACCACTCAACCTCACCTTAACCACTCACTCTCACCACTCACCCTCTCCACTCACCCTCAGCACTCACCCTCACCACTCACCACTCACTCTCACCACTCACCCTCACCACTCACCCTCACCACTCACCGCTCTCCCTCACCACTCACCCTCACCGCTCACCACTCACCCTCACCAATCACCATTACTGTGGTGGTGGTACCTGCTATCATGACAGTAGTACAAGCTGACGTTTTGTATGTGTAATGTCAAAAGCTAAATTAGTGAATGTGTGTGTCTGTAAGAAATGTTAAGCATACTTGGCAACACGTGAGCAAGTTTTTTTAAAAGCGGGAATAGGGGTGGTGGTGGTGAGGGTGAGTGTTGAGGGTGAGTGATGAGTGGTTAGGGTGAGTAGTGAGGGTGAGTGGTGAGCGTGAGTGGTGAGTGGTGAGCGTGACTGGCGAGTGGTGAGGGTGAGTGGTGAGGGAGAGTGATGAGGGTGAGTGTGGAGAGTGGTGAGGGTGAGTAGTGATTGGTGAGTGGTGAGGGTGAGTGGCGGTTGTGAGTGGTGATTAGTGAGGGGTGAGTGGTGAGGGTGAGCGTGAGTGGTGAGTGGTGAGGGTGAGTGGTGAGGGTAAGTGGTGAGCGGTGAGGGTGAGCAGTGAGGGTGAGTGGTGATTGGTCAGGGTGTGTATGATGAGGATGAGTGGTGAGAGTGAGTTGTGAGGGTGAGTGGTGAGGGTGAGTGGTGAGGGTGAGTGGCGGTTGTGAGTGGTGATTAGTGAGTGGTGAGGGTGAGTGGTAATGGTGAGTGGTGAGCGTGAGTAGTGAGGGTGAGTGGTGAGCGTGAGTGGTGAGGGTGAGTGGTGATTAGTGAGGGGTGAGTGGTGAGGGTGAGCGTGAGTGGTGAGGTTGAGTGGTGAGGGTGACGGTGAGCAGTGAGGGTGAGCAGTGAGGGTGAGTGGTGATTGGTGAGGGTGTGATTGGTGAGGATGAGTGGTGAGGGTGCGTGGTAAGGGTGAGTGGTGAGCGGTGAGGGTGAGTGGTTGTTGTGAGGGTGAGTGGTGAGGGTGAGTGGTGAGAGTGAGTGGTGAGGATGAGTGGTGAGGGTGAGTGGCGGTGGTGAGTGGTGATTAGTGAGTGGTGAGGATGAGTGGTGAGGGTGACCGGTGAGGGAGAGTGGTGAGGGTGAGTGGTTGTTGTGAGGGTGAGTGGTGAGGGTGAGTGGTAAGGTTGAGTGGTGATGTTGAGTGGTGAGGGTTAGTGGAGAGTGGTGAGGGTGAGTGATGAGTAGTGCGGGTGAGTGGTGAGGGTGAGTGGTGAGGGGTGAGAGATTGGTTAGTGGTGAGGGTGAGTGGTGAGGGTGAGTGGTAAGGTTGAGTGGTGATGTTGAGTGGTGAGGGTTAGTGGAGAGTGGTGAGGGTGAGTGGTGAGTAGTGCGGGTGAGTGGTGAAGGTGAGTGGTGGTTGTGACGGTGAGTGGTGAGTGGTGAGGGTGAGTGGTGAGGCTGAATGGTGAGTTGAATGGTGAGAGTGAGTGGTGAGGGAGAGTGGGGACGGTGAGTGGTGAGGGTGAGTGGTGAATAGTGAGTGGTGAGGGTAAGTGGTGATGGTGAGTAGTGAGGGTGAGTGGTTAGGGGTGAGTGGTGGGGATGAGTGGTGAGGGTGAGTGGTGAGGGTCAGAGGTGAAGGTGAGTGGTGAGGGTGAGTGGTGAGTGGTGAGGGTGAGTGGTGAGTGGTGAGGGTGAGTTTGAGGGTGAATGGTGAGGGTGAGTGGTGAGGGTGAGTGGTGAGGGTGAGTGGCGGTTGTGAATGGTGATTAGTGAGGGGTGAGTGGTGAGGGTGAGCGTGAGTGGTGAGGGTGAGTGGTGAGCGGTGAGGGTGAGCAGTGAGGGTGAGTGGTGATTGGTTAGGGTGTGATTGATGAGGATGAGTGGTGAGTGGTGAGGGTGAGTGGTTGTTGTGAGGGTGAGTGGTGAGGGTGAGAGGTGATTAGTGAGTGGTGAGGGTGAGTGGTAATGGTGAGTGGTGAGCGTGAGTGGTGAGGGTGAGTGGTGAGCGTGAGTGGTGAGGGCATGATTGGTGAGGATGAGTGGTGAGTGGTGAGGGTGCATGGTAATGGTGAGTGGTGAGCTGTGAGGTGGAGTGGTTGTTTTGAGGATGAGTGGTGTGGTTGAGTGGTGATGTTGAGTGGTGAGGGTTAGTGGAGAGTGGTGAGGGTGAGTGGTGAGTAGTGCGGGTGAGTGGTGAGGGTGAGTGGTGAGGGGTTAGAGATTGGTTAGTGTTGAGGGTGAGTGGTGAGGGTGAGTGCTAAGGTTGAGTGTTGATGTTGAGTGAGGGTTAGTGGAGAGTGGTGAGGGTGAGTGGTGAGTAGTGCGGGTGAGTGATGAGGGTGAGTGGTGGTTGTGACGGTGAGTGGTGAGTGGTGAGGGTGAGTGGTGAGGCTGAACGGTGAGTTGAATGGTGAGAGTGAGTGGTGAGGGAGAGTGAGGAGGGTGAGTGGTGAGGGTGTGTGGTGAATAGTGAGTGGTGAGGGTAAGTGGTGATGGTGAGTAGTGAGGGTGAGTGGTTAGGGGTGAGTGGTGGGAGTGAGTGGTGAGGGTCAGTGGTGAAGGTGAGTGGTGAGGGTGAGGGGTGAGTGGTGA